GAATCCTAGAGTTGGAAGAGACCACAAGGGCCATCGAGGTCCAACCCCCTGCCAAGCAGGAAACACCATCAGAGCACTCCTGACATATGGTTGTCAAGCCTCTGCTTCAAGACCTCCAAAGAAGGAGACTCCACCACACTCCTTGGCAGCAAATTCCACTGTCGAACAGCTCTTACTGTCAGGAAGTTCTTCCTAATGTTTAGGTGGAATCTTCTTTCTTGTAGTTTGGATCCATTGCTCCGTGTCCGCTTCTCTGGAGCAGCAGAAAACAACCTTTCTCCCTCCTCTATGTGACATCCTTTTATATATTTGAACATGGCTATCATATCACCCCTTAACCTTCTCTTCTCCAGGCTAAACATGCCCAGCTCCCTTAGCCGTTCCTCATAAGGCATCGTTTCCAGGCCTTTGACCATTTTGGTTGCCCTCCTCTGGACACCTTCCAGTTTGTCAGTGTCCTTGCAAGTTCACCATGCAAGTTACTGTAAGCACCTAGATTTCCTAATCCGGCCTTTCCCAAACTGGTGCCCTCCAGATATTCTGGACTGCAACTACCATCAGCTCCAACTAACATGGCCAATGGGCAGGCATAATGGGATCTGTAGTTCAAAATGTTTGGAGAGCACTAAGTGTAGAGTTCGAAGGGATCCCAAGGATCATCTCATCCAATCCCATGCGATTCAGGAATCTCAGCTGAAGCATTCCTGACAGAAGGCAACCCAACCTCTGCTTAAAAGCCCCCAAGGAAGAAGAGTCCACCACTTTCTAAGTTCATTCCACTGTCAGACAGATCTTACTACCAGAAAGTTCTTCCTGGTGTTTAGTTGAAATCTCCTCTCTTGTAACTTGAAGCCATTGTTCCGGGTTCTACCCTCCTGAGCAGGAGCAAACAAGTTTTCTCCATCCTCCATGTGACAACCCTTCAGATATTTGAAGATGGCTATCATCTCTCCCTTCAGTGTCCTTTTTTTGGCTAAACATACCCAACTCCCTCAACTATTCCTCATAAGGCTTGGTTTCCTGACCATTTATCATCATGGTCACCTCTGGGCACACCTTCCAGCTTGTCAATATCCTCCTTAAATTGTGGCGGCCAGAAATGGTCGCAGGACTCCAGGTGTGGTCGGAATAAAGCGGATGATAAGGCTTTTGCCACCTCAAAGCTGCCAACTCCAACTGTATCAACTGCTTAGAGAAATGAACTTTAGGAGAGCTCTGCAAGCCAAACCAAGAGCACAGGCCACCACAATAGACCTGCTCTTTTAATGAACTTTCCCAAGAATGAAAACAACAAAACACAGAACCTTTGGACTTGGTTGGAGGCCACGTGTTGGTTGGAGGTGTTCCCTGCATAACCATTTGCTACATTTTGTTGTTGTTTAGTCGTTTAGTTGAGTCCGACTCTTCGTGACCCCCATGGACCAGAGCACGCCAGGCACCCCTGTCTTCCACTGCCTCCCGCAGTTTGGTCAAACTCATGCTGGTAGCTTCAAGAACACTGTCTAACCATCTCGTCCTCTGTCGTCCCCTTCTCCTTATGCCCTCAATCTTTCCCAACATCAGGGTCTTTTCCAGGGAGTCTTCTCTTCTCATGAGGTGGCCAAAGTATTGGAGCCTCAGCTTCACGATCTGTCCTTCCAGTTAGCATTCAGGGCTGATTTCCTTCAGAATGGAGAGGTTTGATCTTCCTGCAGTCCGTGGGACTCTCAAGAGTCTCCTCCAGCACCATAATTCAAAAGCATCAATTCTTTGGCGATCAGCCTTCTTTATGGTCCAGCTCTCACTTCCATACATCACTACTGGGAAAACCATAGCTTTTACTATACGGACCTTTGTTGGCAAGGTGAAGTCTCTGCTTTTTAAGATGCTGTCTAGGTTTGTCATCGCCTTTCTCCCAAGAAGCAGGCGTCTTTTAATTTTGTGATTGCTGTCACCATCTGCAGTGGTCACAGAGCCGAAGAAAGTAAAATCTTTCACTGCCTCCATTCCTTCCCCTTCTATTTGCCAGGAGGTGTTGGGACCAGTGGCCATGATCTTAGTTTTTTTGATGTTGAGGTTCAGACCAATTTGCTACATTACCTTGAGAGAAAGGGATTTAGGTTATGTGAATAAGAGCTGTGACTCATACCTCCAGTGAATGGTGTCCATATTACCCGCCGTATAGCTTTCACCCAGTCTTCCATATCATTCTGGGAGCTAGCCATGAACAAGAAGGCTTCATGGTGGATGGGCACCTTATCCCGACCTGCTGTGCCACCTGCAAAGAAGACACACTTCTGTTACCATCTGCATACAGAACTTAACTTCTTCTCTTCCCTGGTATAAATATATAGTGCTTCATTTGACGTACAGTATAGTAGTGCTTAATGTCAAGCTCAAAACTCTTGAATTATATATCCAGCACATGGAACCTTACAAAAGGTCAATATGAATGGACTCTCCGCACCCTTACCATAGCAAAAAGACTGAGACTGATGAATTGGAAAAATAAAAATGCGGCTTCCTTCTATGATTGGATTGAAGATTTATACAAACTTGCAACGTATGAGCAACTTGCATATAAATGCAGACTTGCCATGGACAAATTCAATGATATTTGGAATCCATTTTTACAAATACTGTAATACTGTAATTTTTACAAATACTGTAGTTGGTTAAGATCTGGTGAAGTACAAGAACAACTTTGTAAAGTATACAGCTTTGGGTCCATCCATTCCCTTTTATTTTCCCTTATACAGGGGGGCTGTTTCTCCTCCCTCCTTTTTTCTCTTTTATTGATGCCTCACCATGTTTAGTGCACATATAATTATGTATTTTTTGAACTTTCATTGAAGATGTCAAAATAAATAGATAGATAGATAGATAGATAGATAGATAGATAGATAAGAAGAAGAAGAAGAAGACTGGCCAAATATCCTCCCTTAATCCTAGAAGCATGGCAGCTCGGCATATGTTTGGAAATATCCATCTGCATTCACAGTGGAAAACAGCTCCAGCGAATTCCTGCCAGGAGAGATTTGTGTTCTGAGGGCTGATAGTCACATTATCTCCGCATTCCCCCCAACCCCGGCTGCCCTAATATACTTCAGGAAGTAAGCATAGCAAGGCCAGGGCTGGTTGAAGACATTGGATAGAATCATAGAATCATAGAATCCTAGAGTTGGAAGAGACCACAAGGGCCATCGAGTCCAACCCCCTGCCAAGCAGGAAACACCATCAGAGCACTCCTGACATATGGTTGTCAAGCCTCTGCTTCAAGACCTCCAAAGAAGGAGACTCCACCACACTCCTTGGCAGCAAATTCCACTGTCGAACAGCTCTTACTGTCAGGAAGTTCTTCCTAATGTTTAGGTGGAATCTTCTTTCTTGTAGTTTGGATCCATTGCTCCGTGTCCGCTTCTCTGGAGCAGCAGAAAACAACCTTTCTCCCTCCTCTATGTGACATCCTTTTATATATTTGAACATGGTATCATATCACCCCTTAACCTCCTCTTCTCCAGGCTAAACATGCCCAGCTCCCTTAGCCGTTCCTCATAAGGCATCGTTTCCAGGCCTTTGACCATTTTGGTTGCCCTCCTCTGGACACCTTCCAGTTTGTCAGTGTCCTTCTTGAACTGTGGTGCCCAGAACTGGACACAGTACTCCAGGTGAGGTCTGACGTTTGTAAGACATTGTAAAAAAAAAAGGCTTTCACTCCTTAGCCAGACAAGAATTTGACAGAAAGGTGTGAGGATGTACATTTGTTCCCACACATTTCATCTGCAATCTGCCGGTGACTGCGTTCACCCTGGGATGTCACAACTTTAGGATATTCCAAGCTGGAGGATAGATGCTTTTCATTTCTGCAGGAGGCAGGGACATTTTGAGTGCCTGCGAATTTTCATCAGGCTTGTATCTACAGGGGACCTGACTCCCAAGAGAGCTCTTCTGGAAATTTTAGCTCTCGCTTTTTAAAAATGACAATTGTTGAGCTCTTTTCCTTTCGGGGAAGTGAGGGGGAAAGTGCAAGCAGAAGGATACTTTCTCATTGCCCCTGAAGAGATAGGGAAACAGAAAATGCACTTTTGTTAACCCCTTACTGATTGGGCTCATTCTCCTATGCCCTGCTCCATAAACATTCTTTGCCTATCCTTTTCTTCTTACTTACTGCCCTGTAAGGCCAGCAGCAACAACTGAGAGCAGTTGGCAGAAAAGCAGAGCTCAATCTGTCCTATTTTGGAACTGCCCCCTCTGCTTCTAGCGGGGAAACTTGTCTCAAGAGTAGGCTGGTCCATGGAAGGTGAAGTCCAGGAGGAGAACAACGAGTGCTCCGCTGGGTATTTAACCATCCATTCATTGCAATCCATCTTGCTTTGCATAGGTGCATCTGGGCATGTGCAAAAAGACTTCCATTCACCAGTGACTGAGTCAACCTCTGGCTTCGCCTCATCTGAAATCTGGGATTAGCACTAAGCCTCAGAACTTCCAGACATGGGGCTAAGTCCATCCCTTGTCTTGACTTGGTATCAAGAGAAACTGCAAAGTTGTTTGAGGTAGCTCAGTCCATAGAGCACGGGACTCTGAATCTCAGGGTTGTGGGTTTGAGAGCCACATTGGGCAAAAGATTCCCTTCCAGCTTTACGATTCTATGGCACCAAAGCCACTTCCACCTTACGGAGGAGGTGGGGTTGCGGGCTTCATGGCCCCACCATGCACGCGGTGGGTCAAGGCCAGCCCTTGCATGATTGGGGGGATTCCCAGTCGCGTCACCCCCTGGCAGGCCAATCAGCAGGACCTATAAAGGCAGGATGCGGCTGGGGATCTCCCTCTTTGCTGCTCATCAGCTGTTCCTGTTTTTCCCCACCCTCCTGCCCTATAAGGATTCCGTTCTTTGACCTTGCTATGGACCTTGGTTGGTTGCCGTTGAGGGACCTGGTATGAATTTTTCCACTTGGCAAATTGGCACCAGCCACTTAGTTTCCACCTAAAGGTAAAGGTAAAGGTAAAGGGACCCCTGATGATTAGGTCCAGTCGTGACCAACTCTGGGGTTGCGGCGCTTATCTCGCTTTATTGGCCAAGGGAGCCGGCGTACAGCTTCTGGGTCATGTGGCCAGCATGACTAAGCTGCTTCTGGCAAACCAGAGCTGCGCACGGAAATGCCATTTACCTTCCCACCGGAGTGGTACCTATTTATCTACTTGCACTTTGACGTGCTTTCGAACTCCTAGGTTGGCAGGAGCAGGGACCGAGCAACGGGAGCTCACCCCGTTGCGGGAATTCAAACTGCTGACCTTCTGATCGGCAAGTCCTAGGCTCTGTGGTTTAACCCACAGTGCCAGCTGCGTCC